CTCTCTCTCTCTCTCTCTCTCTCTCTCTCTCTCTCTCTCTCTCTCTCTCACGCGTGCAAACACACAGACACACACACATACACGCACACAACCTCAGGCCAAGGAGGGCAGAAATGCTAAGTCCATTCATTATAAATCACTTCTAGAATAGATGCCCATGGTGTTACTGCTGCAGCTAGAAACTGGAGAAGAGAGCAAAAACATAAAATTTCGTAGAACAGAGGTGTGGGGATAGGGAAAGAAGGAAGGATGAAGGTGATTATTATATAAGCTAAGGGTTCTGCTACCTTTATCATTTACCAAGACATCTGTTAGAACCCAGTCACCTTGACTTTCTTTAAAACTCAAGGATTGCATTCTTGGTTCAGTCATATGCTGCAAACTTTTTTTGCGTGTGTTGCTGGAGAGACAGCGTGGGTGCTGGGAACCAAACTCTTATATTTTTGGTTTTGAGCCTAGCCTTTAACGGCTGAGCCATCTCTCCAGCCCACTGCAAACATTTTTAAAGATTTATTTTATGTGTGTGAGTGTTTTGCCTGCATGTATGTCTGTGCACCGCGTAAATACTTACTGCCCATAGAAGTTAGAAGAGGGCATCATATCTCCCTGAAACTGGAGTTGTCATTTGTAAGTCATCATATGGGTAATGGGAATCGAGCTTGGATTTGTTTGTTTTTTTGTTTTGTTTTGTTTTGTTTTTTGTTCTGGAAACTCATGGACTACGCCTGCCTCCCAAGTACTGGGACAAAAGGCGTGCACTCCACGCCTGGTTCTTCTTCTGCAAAATCAACAAGTGCTCATAACCACTGAGCTATCTCTCTCTCTAGCCCCAAATGCTGGAAACATTTATTAACTGTCAGGTTTGAAAGAAATCCTCAGAACCAAGTGTAGAGAGCAATGTGAAACCACTAAAACTGTAGCAGGCTATCTGTATGTATGTTTGCAGGTGAGGAGTCTAGCACAGGGATTACAAGAAGAAGAAAGGGATCTTACGGGAGATATGAGATGGTAATGGATTGCATGTAAAAGAAAGCAAAAAGGAAGACTCAGTGGGGCAGAAAGGGAGCCAGCTGGAGGAGGGAATGACTGAGAACAAAGTATGAGGATAACACATACAAGGATGCGATGATGAAACCCAGTACTTTCAGCTTCGGAAAAGTCAAAACTGTATAATATTTGGGGTGGGGGCATGTGCCACACCCTTCATTCCAGTCAGATGATCCTCATAGTTGGCCATGACGTGCTGTACAAGGCTCGGTCTCAGGTGGCTGAGGCTAGTATAAAAATTTTCAGTCTTGGGCTGGAGAGATGGCTCAGCGGTTAAGAGCATTGCCTGCTCTTCCAAAGGTCCTGAGTTCAATTCCCAGCAACCACATGGTGGCTCACAACCATCTTAAATGAGGTCTGGTGCCCTCTTCTGCCTGCAGCCATACATGGAGCCAGAATGCTGCATACAAAATAAAATCTTTAATTAAGAAGTGTTGTCCTGAGTTCAATTCCCAGCAACCACATGGTGGCTCACAACCATCTTAAATGAGGTCTGGTGCCCTCTTCTGGCCTGCAGGCAAACACACAGACAGAACATTGTATACATAATAAATAAATATTTAAAAAAAAAAAAGACTTTAAAAAAAATTTTCAGTCTTACTACTGAAAAGGGATTTGTTCCTACTTGAAATACCACATTTGAAAATGTCCACCTTTTTGTAAGATGCAAATGAAAAGAGACTGAAGGTTATTCTGTGGGGGCGAAGCTCGACTTGCATTGCAGTTCTCTAGAGAAAAGCAGGCAGGAGAATGACGAGTAGCTGGTGGCGGGGATTGCACGCAGCTTTGCTTGTTTCCAGGTTGTGAGCATCTGTCCTTTGTGTCTTGGCAGAAAAAAAAAACCATACAAAATTATCACCTAAGCACACTTCTGTTTTAAGACCTAGAAAACAGAGCTAAGCAAATGGGCTCTGGCACCTTGGCCAAACTATTTGTCTTCTATAAACCTTCTATAAACCTCAGTTTCCTCTTGAACAAGATAAAAATTATGAGGGTTGAATAAGAAAATGGTTATAAAATTGGCACGGTAATTTCTTAAAAGTATGTGGGTATTGTCAGTTTCCCTTGGCCAAAATGTTTACATAATTTTTCTGCCTGTTTTCTGTCTATAAAATGAAAATACAGCCTGTTTGTATCTTTTAGAGCATATCAGGAAAGCTGAGAAGATGGCTCTGTGGGTAAAGTTTTTGTTGTGCAAGCATGAAGACCTAAGCGCAGATCCCAGCACACATGTAAAAAGGCAGATTTGGCATGCACCAGGAATCCTAGTGCTTAGAGGCAGGAAGATCCTAGGGATTTGCTGACCTAGCCAATCCAGTGAGCTCCAAAATGTACTAGAGGAAGACAACCACCACTGACCTGGCCTACATACACATACACAGCATGCACACATGTATACACCACACGCATATTAAGTTAAAGGAGATAATACCTGTAAAATCACTTGGAGCTCTTTAGTTCTTAAATTTATCAAAGCCCTGTCAAAACACATGTCAGTTTATTTATTTGTGGGGTTTTAAAAATTATTTTTATGAGTGTTTTACCTATATGTAAGCCAGTACCCCACATGCATGCCTGCTACCCATAGGGACCTGAAGAGGTCATTGTATCCTCAACTGGCCTGGAGAATCCTCTGGGCCTGGAGTTGCAAGTGGTTGTAAACCACCATGTGGGTGCCAGGAACCAAATCCAAGTCCTCTGGGAAAGCAAGCAGTGCTCCTAACTGTTGTGTACGATGTTTCACTCCTTTTCTCTTTTGACTTTACTCCATGGCTGGCTGTGTGGCTGGCCCCTAGCGTTCTCCAAAAAGCCCTTGTGCTTCTCCTCACCCCTCCTTAAAATTCCTTCTCCACCTGGCTTCTCCCTGCCATTTCCTGTCTGCTAGTTGCTGACTCAGCCACCTGACCGCAGGTGAATTTTATATAATCAGACACATTTTTGCACCTTTACACAGATGTTCCACAGCCTAAACAAGAGTAACACATCATAAAATCATATTCCCCAGGGGCTGGAGAGATGACTCAGGTTAAGAGCACACTGGCTGCTCTTCCTGAGGTCCTGAGTTCAATTCCCAGCACCCACATGGCAGCTCACAACCATCTGTAGTGAGATCTGGTGCCCTCTTCTAGTATGTGTATACACAATAAATACAGAAATCTTTAATCATAATGTGGTCACCTGATGATGGCTACCTGAGCGATTTTCAGTTTGAAGTTAGTTGTCATGACTGTTATGTACATCTTTTTTGGTCATGCATTTTCATTTTACTTGTGTGAACTTGGTGGAGTGGAGTTGATATATGTGGCAGACATACATGGTGGTGTATGCCTTGAATTTCAACAGTAATCCCAGTACTCAAAAGCAGAGGCCAACCCAGGCTAAAGACCTCCCTCAAGAAAGCAAACAAACCAAACAAGCAAATGGTAGATGTGTGTTTTATTTTAGAAGGAACTTCCAAGGCTAGAGAATGGCTCAGCAGTTAGACTTCTCTTCCAGTGTACTGTTCATTCCACCACCAAATGGTTCACAACTGTCTCCAGTCCCAAGGGGTCAAATTCCTTCTGACCTCCACAGACACCAGGCACACACATGGTACACATACATATATGGAGGCAAAACACTCAACACATTAAGTAAATAAAATAAATCTAAGAAAGAAAGATTTCCAGGCATTCTTCCAAAGTGACTATGCCATTTTATACTAATACCAATAAGA